TCCTAACAGAACCACAGGAAGAGGCACTATTAGTGTACCCAATTTATCCATAGAAAACCAGTAATGGGGGAAACTGTCTGTCTCCCCACATTGTCCACACTGGATATTATCTTTTATTTTTTATTTTTGCCATTCTGGTGGGGGGAACGTGGCATCTCTTTTCTATCTAATATGTTCTATAAGAATTAATAGTTCTAATAACCCTTGGTTTCTATGTCACTCTTTGTGTTATATAAAAAGAAGAAAAATAAGACTCAGAATGTTGTAGTGACTTGTCCAAAGCTGCATTGCTGGTAAATGATGGGGCTTAGATTTGAACTGGATTCTCTCTGACTCCCTGTCTTTTTTCCATTATCCTCCATTATCATCTGCCTCTTTAGCTAAGCACTAGGAATGTTTGGAAATTTGGTCTTATCCTTGAGTCAAATCTTCTAGAAAATATCAAAATGGGAACTCGTGGAAGAATTCACTCTGACCTGCTTCACTTTATATTTGATGATGGGGTGTCTGGGGAGTGGGACAGAGGTTACCTCCCAGCCTTGCTGGCACTGTGATGCAGCAAACGCATCCAAAAATATGTTAGAAAGAGAAAGGCCTTTATAATAAGCTCGGGCCTCCCTTTGTCTTGTGAGGTTTTAACTACTGTAATTGCCTGTAGTGTGAAATAGTGTATTTTTCATGATCTATTTTTATGCTGTGTCTATCTGCTTATCTCTTTTTTGTTTTGTTTTTTTGAATCCTGATGAGTATTTTAACTCACTTGAATCCTGGTGAGTATTTTTCCTGTGAATAGTACTGCCTTGGGAAAGCTCATACCCTCAAATACACACATACACACACAATATAATAATATGAAAGCTAAATAGGGTAGAATTTATTCTTTACAAAAAAAAAGCTAATGGTAAAGTCTGCAGCAAATGACTTTCTAATCCATACTGTATTTAATTGGCTGTATTGAACCATACTACAAATTAAGTCTTCTCTGTAATTTATTCTGTCAGATGGTAACCCTCCAAACTATTTGATACTTCATTTAAACATTGGTAAATGGCTCATGGAAATGCAAGAAAAAAAGATTTAATGATGATCAGATAAGAAACCCTGTGTTCACAGAATGAATCCGATGTGAAATGTAGTGAATTAACCTGATTCAATCATTGAGCATTTATTGAGCAACTACCTAGCACAGACTGTAGTTATTGGGAGAGTTTAGTCATCTACTTTAATTCCGCAAGTGCTTTTTAATCACCTATTGTTCAAAAGTAGCAGAGTTAGGAACTGAGGTAAGACTGAGGCGAGTGAGATTTGAATCTTTCTCTCAAGGAGCTAACATCCCCAGAGTGGAGAGGACACACATGTGCACTGGCCCCCAGTTATCCTGTTTTCGGGACTTAGAGACTTTTCCATTTGATTTTCTGGATCTTCCCCACTGTCCTTTGAGACTCCTTTCAAGGTCAGTCCCTTTGTCAAGTCTACCTCGATATCCTTCCCCATTCCTACTCTGAGCCTATGTTACACCCTCTGCATACTTGACATTTACTATAAACCTTGTCTGTAAACCTATTGTATGTTATTGTTAGTTTCTTTGCCTGCATTTTATGAGATGGCAAGGTCCTGAGGTCTGGACTATATTTTAGTAATCTGGGTAGATACATGAGGCAGACACTCAATAACTACATATAGCATGGCATACTGAGTGAAATGTTAAAACTAAATGCAAAGCAGCCTAGATGGGTGAGCATTGAGATCCACCAACAAGGAGTATGAGTAGAGGAAGCCGAGAAGTCAGGGGAGTTTCCTTGGGGGGGCGTGTGACGATGTCGGAGCTAGGCTTGTTACTAAGGAATGAGTGATGGTGCAGTTGATGAAACCTGGGTCTGGGGGTGAGGAATCAGCAGAGAAAACATGAAAGGTGGCCAGAGGTGGGAAATGCAGGGTCCAAATGGGGAAGGCTGCAGATTGTAGCCTGAATTACCAGCAGTTCACCTTTGTGAGACAGATCAGACAGGAGGGAGGGGGCTGATACTAGGATTCTCCTTGAAATTCTTCAGTGACAGCCTTCATCCACAATGTGAAGGAACAGTTCAGATGGGAGTCAAGAAGAGAGCAATGGGGAGTTTTTATATACAGAGTTAGATTTTTCCAGGTCAAAAACTGTTTTGCAAAGGAAATTCAGATGAAGGGCAACCAGAATCACCTTTCCTTCACCCTCTCACTCCCCATCCTTCCCAGTGTTCTTTGTTGCCTCCCGGTACCTGCCAGCATCCAGGACAGCACAGCTCTGCCTCATTGCTGAGTTCTGCCCTCGAGCCTTCCCCATCCCAGCTTGTGTTGGGGGGTGGGGGGGGGGGAGAGACAGAAGGTGGCTTGGTTTTGTTGATGGAGCCAGGAGCCAGGCATCTAAGGAAATGAGTCCTCAATTCCACATGATCTTGTTTCTTCTTGTCAATGTTTTGTCATCCTGAATTGGGACAATGAAGTCTGGGTTAAGTGTTGATCCTGCCAGAACTCTCTCTGACCCTCAATCCTTTCAGGGTTGAACTACGCAAATTTAAGATTTCCTCTGGCTCTTACTATCTTTGCTTGTGCTGGTCAAATCTAGCAGAAGACCTGGAACAATTTTGAGGCTCATGAACAAGTACTTGCACGATCCTCTGACTTACTGAGATGAATATGATAATAGAACAGTGCGATTAGCAGGATCCTAATAGATTTGTATCTCCAACTCTCTGGGTTATGTGTGCATGGTTAAGGTTGGACAGAGGGGAGGCATGTTCCCTACTGATGCTTAATTTCCAAATGAATGGAGCCCCTCTCAGCAATGCTTTTTAACATGTTGTAAAATTAACTGTGGGAAAAGATAATGTTATAAATATCTTTAAACACTTCATGCGCGCACGCACTCACACACAGCTACACGTTGTACGGCAATAATATTAGGTATCATCAGGCGTTAAAAATGTTTTGATTTTAAAAGACTTAATGAGGATTCCCAGATAAATTAAAATATCTCCATCTGCTGTCTTGTATAGTAAGGTGATACTTTACCATTGCACAATCATCTCGAAATCTAATTCCACCAGGAAGACTTCTAATCACAGTTTAATTTCCCAGCAATATTCCACTTGGCAATCAATAAGGTACTGTCGTCAAACTTGGATTTAACAGGAGACGTGGATAACATTCACCACGTTATGCAGAGAGAAATACTTTCGGGAAAGAGAGGAGAACGTCTTTGTCTTCCACCTTCTCCAGCTGCACAGCATCTAGCTCACAAAACCTATAAATCAATGCCCCCATGTTGTGTGAATATAACTCTCATCAGTTTTACATCATTAGCACCACAGAAATGCTACTGCTCTTTGAGCAGTTTTCCTATGTTAGCTAAATATGTCCTCTTAATAAAACAAAAATAAATGAGTCCTGATTATTTTACTAACAGATGCTTCATTCCTCACCAATTTGGTGTCGACCACTAGAATGATAGTTGTCTTCTGGCTGCTTGAGAGGATAGGATGGCTGGGCAGTGACAGCACTCTCCACCCATGATGTCCAGCAGCAGTGGGCAGCCAGGAAAGGGCAGAAAGCACAATTCATCAATGTGGGTAGCAAATTATCAGACTCTGGGAGGTTAACATGAGCCAGCAACTTCCACTGCAGACATAATGTATAAGGTCAAAATCCAGACAGAAGTGTTGAAGGCGTGAGCTAGAACTAAGGTGATGGCCAGGAGCACCAGCTATCACTGCGCTGGTAGGCTAGCTGTGTGCAGTGAGGTCCTGATGGCTAAGGAACCTGGTTGACGGGACAGTACTTTTGGGAATACCTCCTTCATGCCTACCAGCATTTTCACAATTATGAGTCCATTTGTGACATTTTTCCTCTCTCCATGGACTCAGTAAGGTTCTTAACACTCATTTTAATAAGCACATCCTTTATAAAGACTTTAAGCATATCCTGTAATGCCCAGATGTTAATATGCTTTTGCATGAATATGAATGCAACTGTTACATGAAGGTTGCATTACATACCTACAGAAAAATGACCACCACCTAACTGAATGGCTGTTTGTGGAAACTGAGATAGTGTAAACAGCAAGTCAATTCAAAAGACTTGCAAATTACTGGTCAGCAACTCCAGTTTACTGTAGTTCAGTGACTAAGGACCAGACACAGTGGCATAGACTAGATGACAGAGTTGAGGATGACAGAGCTTGGTGAAGAAGACAGCCAAAGAATCGGGCAAGAATGTCAGAGAAGGAAGGTCTGGGGAAGCGGGGTGCTGTGGAATCCAACAAGTGTTTCAGCACCTCCGGAAGCTAAAGTTCTATGGGAACATAAGAGGGAGGAATTGCGTCTTTAAGGGAGAGAAAAGGCATGCCTTTCTCATGGACCATTGCACACAGGTGATGCTATTTGGAATAGCCTTTGCAAGAGGAAAGAGATTGGGGAAAGCAGATGAAAAACATAGGAGACAGAGGGAGCAAACCGTGTAGAGTTATGTGACTTTGGACAAAATAGCAAAAAGCATCTGTTCTTCCAGACTCTGCATCACCATATGTTGGGATAATTTCATAACCATACAGGTCTCTGGTTCTCAGTGTGCCTGTGTATCTCCCACCAAGGCAATCAGAGGCCGGGGTGTGTAAGTAGGTTCAAGTCCAACTTAGACTGAGCGGTGTCAAAAAGAAAGATTTAGCAAAAGCTACTCGGCGGCTAAATCAGACCTACCAGCTCTGGCAAGCTGAAGGCAGCCACCACCACATACGCTCATTCAGCATATGAACAGTCCTGTTTATCTCCCTGGTCACGGCACTAAGACCATGGAGGGAAGCCTCTTTTTCTCAGGGGCAGGCACGGCTCTTTTTCCTTCCATCTGGATGAAACAGCTTTTCCAAAGCCCTTCGGGCCTGTTCACACGTAGCTGAAACACATCTCTTATTGATCAACAGCTCGAAGGAAATGTCCCCTGAAATATGTTCTCCTTTTTGTCTCCAACAGGCCCTTCAGCATCATCATGCTGTTCATGAAATCTCCTACATTGCAAAGGACATCACAGATCATCGGGCCTTTGGATATGTTTGTGGGAAGGAGGGGAATCACAGATTTGTGGCTATCAAGACAGCCCAGGCGGTAAGTGTCCCCATCCAGAGCTAGCACCCTGCCTTGTCACTGTAGTGGTCACACTATCATGCCACTGGTCTTTGAAGGTGTACCCCAGTGGGTAGCTAGGATGCTGTGGTTCTGATTGCCATCTCCAGAAGTTAACAGCCTCGGAGCGAGGAGCATGAGACATGTTCAGACCCATCCAGTCTGTTGTTGTTTTTGCTAATGGATATTTCCTAATGACTAATTATTTTCCTTCCTGATTAAACTGGATGGAGGCACAGTATACAAATAAGTTTCCTTGTGTGCATAGCCTCATTTAAAAAGAAAATAAGAGAAAACAAATAGCTGTTTTGCATAAGGCCTACCCTAATTTCATTGTATTTGAAATTAGTAATAAATAAAAGCAATGTCTTTTATGCTTATGATTATTATGAATTTGCAAATATAATTAGTTGAAGAAATGAACTTTAGCCCAGATGCAATTTGCTAAACCAATATAAACAAGGTAGAATTAATTAAAGATGGAATGCTTTCAGTTTAATAGAAACCGGAAGGGCTGCAGGTTATAGCCAACAAAAACAAAAATTGCTCTAAGAAGCAGCTCAGTACCATTCCCTTATTAATGTGTTTTACCACCTTTTACTCCAGGCTGAACCTGTTATTCTGGACTTGAGAGATCTCTTTCAGCTTATTTACGAATTGAAGCAAAGAGAAGAATTGGAAAAAAAGGCACAAAAGGATAAGCAGTGTGAACAAGCCGTGTATCAGGTATACCTGTGACATCATCCTGGCACTGGAGAAGATTGGGGCTTAAAATAAACAGGTGTGCAGCTGACAGGTGACAGTTTTCTACTCTCTCTGCTGCCGAGTAGAAAGAAAGATGGAAGGTGCCATGTAAGTCACAGGCATGGAAGGCACACCATTAGAAATGATCCCTTCATCTCTAAAATTGTGAACTTGCTAGAGAAAGTGAACACTAGAATCCAGAGGAGGAATTCTGGGGAGGTGAACCTAAGAACCCCAAAGGCTGTTTCTATTGTTGACAGTAGGGGTGGGGACAGTTACAAGGTTTGGATTTTCTCCTGGTTGATTTCCGGCCACAATAACCCGCTAGCCCATCCTTCCCAGAGCCAGTTTTTCTACTGTCCTGTAGCTTCTGAATACAGCCTCACATTTCTTCCTTTATGTCCTCTGCTTTCACCTTCCCTTCCCTCTCTCTGCTGTAGACAATTCTGGAAGAGGATGTTGAAGATCCTGTCTATCAGGTAAATTCTAAATTGACTTGGGGATTTAGGTTCAGGAATAGTGAGGCCTGTCTTGTAGCTATTTGTCAGAGGCCTAAAGAATCCACTGGCTTCATAGCCTGGACAGGGGCCAAGGTGATTTCTGAGGGTGAGCACTGCCAGCCCCACCAGGAGTAAATTTCCATAAAAATGAACAGAAGTTTGGCTGGCATCGGTGACATGGGGTTTGGAGATGTGCTTCTCTCCATCCTTCCCTGGCCTCAGTCTCCTCCACAATCTGTAAAAGTTTGATCGCAGACTTGAATGTGTTCAAGCCTCTTGAATATTCTGAGTTCATTAGAGACACTATGAATAATGAGGTGGCTTTTCTGACTTAAGAACCAGGGATGGGAACTGGCATTTTTGTGACATTTGAGCACAAACCCCAAGGACAATTTATAAGTTTAGGGAGGCTGTGAGGAGTCCCTGCAGTCACTGACGGGTCCAGCTGTCCCTTGGAGAGCCACAGGCTGTGGTGGGGAGGGACATCCTAGCCTGTAGCTTTCTCAGGACTGCCTTCAAGGTTGCAGCCCAAGGGTGGGGGGTGGAGAGAAGGCATCTCTTAGGTTCAAGTCTGCTCTGTTCAAACAGATGCAGCAAAATGACAAAAGGAGGCCTCAACCCCCATGTACCCATTCCCAAGGGGAATAAGAAGCCAAACACTGACTTGCGGGACATGAAAGAAAACCGGACATGTAGTTCCCCATGAACCCATGGATTATATGTGTGTGTGTCACATGCGCACAGAAAGCTGGCCTGCATTTATGAAAGTAAGCGATCATGGATTTAAAAAGTAGTAACACAATGTCAGCCCCTTGAAATAGAAGCAGCTAGCATCTGCAGCATACAGAAGTCAAAGGCACATGACATGGCCTGCCCTGGCCTTACACTGAGGCCAGGATTTGTTTATAGAAGCTGAGCCCCGGCTCTTTTTAAAACAACCCCGACCTTTAGAGGCTGAAACATGCACGTGGCAAAATAGATTTTCAGTATTTCAAACAGAATGTACAATTAGGTGAGATGTTGAGGATGACGAGCACAGAAGTTCCTTCACTTTAGAGTTGGTTGGCTTAGGACCCTGGGCCTGGAGGAGCACATGGAAATGACCACTGTCACCTAAAGCTCACCAGGGCATCACACACAGACTTTGCTGGAAATAGGACAAGAAGTTACAGGTCCAGAAAGATCGGCAGCGGTGCTGGGCTGACTGACCCATCCTGCTTTGCAGCTGTGCTTAGCAAAGGCAGAACATTTGGTGTTTCAGAAATTCACTTGTCCCTTGGAGGTGTTTTCTCTTGTGTCTGTTTCTTTAATGCTCACTGTGATTTGTACCTTGAATTCCAAATGCTTTTTTTCCCTCTTTCTTTTCCACCTCTGACCTTTCTTCTCTGGCTGCTCCCGACATAGTACATTGTGTTTGAGGCTGGACATGAGCCAATCCGTGATCCCGAAACAGAAGAAAACATTTATCAGGTATAAACCGCTTTCCTCTTCTCCCACTGCACACTGTAAATGCACAGAAGCATCTAGAAGAGCCAGGGCACTCCTCACAGAGTCCCGTTGCTCTCTTGGTTTATCCAAACTTGTCAAAATACCTTCACCTGAATTGACTTCTGACTCCCCTGCAATTCACCAGCAATTTTGTGCTCTGCTCTAAATGTTGAATGGCTAGGGAGTCGACTAACTCTTTTCAATTGACTCAAAAGTCAAACCCTCCATTTTACTAGACTAAACCATTGGAGGATGTTGTCCATAATAGAGCAGGTTCATTTCTCATTTCTTCCTTCATTTCTCACAGAAAAAAATGTGTTTTGTTACTTTTCTTTAAGAAGCCAACTGCACTAGTGAAATTGCAACACACATTTGAATATGCTATTTGGAAATGACACGGGCACATTGACTGTCTGGTAGAAAATCTAGGGGAAGTTTTGACCCCTTTCAAATAACAATAAATTCGTACTTGTAACTGGTTATGTGAAGAACTCAGAACATGTTTCTCCATTCACTTCATTCTCACAAGTTTGTTTGTGAAGTGGTATTTTAATCACACTTTTTCAGGGGAAACTGAGACTCAGAGAAATGGAGTAGCTTCCTCAGGGCTGTGCAGCTGTTGGGAGCTGAGCTCAGACCAGGCGTGTGTGTGAAGGCAGAACTCAGTGCCTCTCCTCCCATGCTTTCCCATCAAAGAGTTTGAGTAATTACAACACAGCAACGCATCAAACAAATATGACGACCTCCAGTTTTCACTAATTAGAATTTTATTCCCAATTTGAAACACAAACATTCTGGAAGAAGGAAAAAAAATTTAATGTATTTAATAAGTGATTTTAATTTTCTTGATTCACTGAGTGGTGTGGCCTGTTTTTCTGCCTTGGGCATACATTACTTGAGTAATAAAAAATAAAGCCGATTTTCAATTCCTATCAAATGCACATTATTCTAAATGATCAAATATAATAGTTAGCACTATCAACTACTCAGTTTTAACCAGCCCTGTGGAATAATTAATATTTCTCTCCACCGGATCCATTTGGATTGGATTCATGTGTGTGATTAAGCTTTGAGATTTAAAAATCATCATCCCTTACAAAGTTACTATCTTCACACAGAAAAATTACCTGTTTGTTCTCAGTGTAAGATTTTAAAATACAGCCTTATAGTCTGAGTATGTGGCCAATGGAATCTTTAGCCCATCATCCTATAAAAAGGGGCACCTTTAGAAGAAAATTAGACTTTTCAATGCAAGAAGTTACTAGTGAGTCTTTTCAGTACACTCTAAATTCTCACTTAGTTTAATGCACATAGTTGGTGAGTTTCCAGCGTGCCCAGTGTGGGGCTGCAGGATGATTGTCTTGAGTGTTGGGAAGACCTGCTCTAGGTGAGTGCAGACCTGGGCTCAGTCCTTTCGCTACCTTTGCTCTGTGGGAGTGGGCAAAGCACTTGCCTTCTCTGAGACTGTTTCCCTGATCATAAAACATGAAAAGTTAGGGTGACAACTTTTTCCTGACACACGTGGGTTTGAGAATGAAGCAAGCTCATGTGAAGAATGCAAAGCAGCAGCATTATCCGGGGTCACACACTGGATCCACAGTGTATGGATTGTCAAATAATAGAACTATTGCCAAGCTAATTTTAAAGATTTAATTGGCATTATTAAATGATTCATGAGTTGGGCAGTATCCCATCTATCGAGAAGAAAGGCACTGAAAATGTTATTCAAAATAGGAGGATTTCAGAGCCAGGAAGAGGATAGGACAGTGATTAGCAAAAGAAAGATTTCTTCAGGCAAAGCCATCATTCCCATTAGAGGAAAGAAGGGATTCTTAGCATGCAGATGATTGCACGGTGTGCAGGGACCTCCTGCTTGGTTGGTTCCCACATTTGGGGGAAGCTGAGACAGCATTTAGGTTAATGTTAAGTCAGGCTCCTCTCTGGGTCTGTTTCCATTTTTTTTTCCCCCAACAAAATCCAGTATTTTGTACAAGAACCCACTCTGCTTTGTCAGCTTTCTTTCCTTTGAACCTCAGTTGACTCATCTGTAAGATGAGCAAGTAAGAGTGAACAATCTCTCAGGTTAGGCCCCTTCCTGTTCTTTGCAATAGTGCCTGATCATAGGCTTATGGTTCTCTCGAAAAGTGTGCTGGGTTGCTTTACATGGCAACACAACTCTTAGGGAAGGAGTGTGTCTGTGTGTGTATGTGTAGATTTGATAACACTTATTGATCACTGGTTTCAGGCCCACTCTGAATGCAGGTTTACATGCAATATCTTACTAGCTCACAAGAGCTTTGGTTTACAGCGCTGCCTGACAGTCAAGAAAGCAAGGTTCACAGAGATAAGCTATCTTGCCCAGGGTCACAGAGCTAGCCAGAGAGAGAATCTCCACTCATACTTAGGGCTGCCTGGCTGCTGTAAATAAATCAATTCCAAGGCTCTTTCAGGTTAGAATTGTCTGATTCTGAGTTTCACAATTAGATTCTTTCTGCTTTTTAAGTCACTATCTACAAATCACACTCATTTTCAGTCCTGACCTTCTTGGGATCTGCCATCATTAACAGAAAGGTACCAATTTAAGGGAATGAATATTTTATCACCCTCTTTTCAAAGACCTCTGGTCATTTCCTCTCTAGCATTGCCAATTGACTGGGCTTCAATTTGCTTAATAAGAGATAAGCTCTTGGGTCTAAAGATAAGGTTGGGTTTTTACAGAACTGCTATTAGGATCCCCATTTTTTTTTTTTTTTTAAGGCCTACAAGTTTTTATAGCTATTCTTCCTAGGTAGATGGCGTTATTTCTTGTACTTCTGCTTGGTCCAGAGTGGTCTCAGATTTCATCCTGCATGTTTTCTGGAATGAGTCTGCACACCTGTATCCTAATCCTTCAGTTCATGACATTGGGTAAAGGATATAACTTTTGTATGTCCAATTCCTGAAGTGGGGATAAAATATCACCTGCTTCTGGAAAGAGACGGGAAGATGTAAAGCAACAAGGATGGCACTCAGTACATAGCAGGGCCTGTGTAAGAGGTAGTTCCCCTTCCTTCCTCATGCCATCAACATCAGATGCTATTCAGCCTGTCTTAGGATGATGTGTTAAGAGAAGCAGAGCATAACTGCTTACCTCATCTTCTCAGTGAGCCTGGTGGAAAGATATAGACTCTCATGGCTTCACTATTTATAGCTCCAACAAAAGGGAGGGAGAGGCTTTTGAGTATATGTAACCTCTTGGAGAATCACTAATCTCAGCAAGCTAACACACAGTGGGAACAGAGGCGCAAACAGACAGTTTCCATAGAAGATAATGTGCACTTTACACTCTAGGAGCCTGATTACCTTTCCTTCTTCCCCAACAAGATGGAAAAGAAGGGTCAAATCCATGTGGTCCGCCATCACTGTCCCAGGCAAAGTGCAGTGCCTGGCATATAACAGGTTCTTGGAAGCTTTTACTTTTTAATGAAAGGCCACACAGAGGCTGTAAGGGTACAGAGGAAGTCAGATTGGGAGGGTCAGGCAAGGCTCCTGAGATGTCCAGGCTGAGATAAATCTTAAAGGACAAACAGGTAGATTGTTATCTTAGCCCTGGAAGAGGCAAGTCGAAAGCTGTTCCAATTACGCACAGTTTGGGTTTATCTATCCCACCGCTTCTCCTCCATTTGCAGGGATAATTGAGCGTCAGCTGTGCTTCAAACTTACTAAGTGCCCATAGTGAGCAGTGAATTACGGGGAACAGAAATGCTGTTTGTTTTGTTCAGGAAAGGGTGAGCTCATAAAAACAGAAGTGAGGACTGGTAATTTATCGGCCCTCATTAACAAGGACTGCTGGCATTCATAGAGGGTTCCTTTTAGATGGAGCCTAGTTATTAGGATCAAAGAAATTACATTCTTTGCTGGCTACCTGCAAATTGAGGTTTACAAGAGTGACTCTGAAAGCGCGTGTTCTGCACTGCCACGCTCACTCATAATCCTGTCCTCTGAGAACGTGCTTGAACCTCTGGGAGTGGAGGAGATGTCTGAGAAAAAGATGCATCTGAGACAGTTGTGAGAACTGTAGGGGTTCTCACAGGGGTGAGTGGCAGCTGTCTACACAGAACCTTCTCAGCTCACATTTTCTCTCCTGCAGCATGGGCACTGTCATCATCAGCTGATAGACTTGTGATGAGGATTGCATAAGAATGTAAAACACACATGTTAAAAACTTGCCTGGAAAGCCCCCTGTCAAAGTTAGCTCATGATGATAGGAAGCAGTGTCTTGTTTGGTAACCCAGTAAGAAATGGGCTTGGATCTGATCACATACTAGCTTTGACACTTGGGGCAAAATCCTTTAACATCTCTGAGCCTCACTTTCTGCTATTTAAAGTGCGGATTATAATACCAGCTTCTTAGAATGATTTTAAGGAATTTAAGTTAAGCTCAGAAGAGTTAAGATTTCAAATGGAACCAAGGAATGAGCTAAGATTGTCCTTTTCTGAGAAGGATGGTATCATTTGCTGCTCCAAGGCTGGCTGAGAGACGTTTTCTTAGTTGTTCCCTGCATCTCTCTGGTTCACTTACTCAGCAGATACTTACTGAATGGCCATTGATTTTGAGGAACTGCTTGCTCTTAAGGAGCTTCCACTCTGAAGGAAGAAAGAAAAGTTATTCAATAGTCATAAAATGCTGAAGGTTGATCCTTCATTGTGGGTGGAAGCTGTTACGCTACTTGCTGGGGAAGAGCATGTAATATTGCAAAGCCTCAGTTGGCACAGCCCAAATAGTCAATGTGTCCATAGCTGTTACTGTTGTAAAATGTGCTCCTGTGTTTATTTACAAAATATCTGAATGACAAAGGAAGTTTTCATTTTGACACTTTGTGGTATTGGAGGGCCTAATAGTTTTTGTTATTATTTCCCCATTTGAGCCTCAAAGTAATCTGAGTGAAAATCAAAGCCAATAGCATCCATGGTGTAATGTGAAGCTCAAAGGAGCTAAGTCCCCTGCTCAGGGTATTATGGTTACTGTGTGATCCAACAGGACCAGATGGAGAGAATAAGAGAAAAGAGGAGCGGGGAGGAAGGTCATGCAGACAGATGTCACGATAGTTGAGGTTTCCTGGTTTCTGGTCTCATGCTTCTTCACCATTTATGGGACCTTTTATTGAACAAAAACCTGTAGTAACTCTCAAGATGACTTGTAAATGATGCCAACAGGAAAGATGTCTTCCTACTAGGATCTTGATATTTGCCTATTTTAAATAGCTTGGGTCTTAGCACTAGATAGTTTCAACTTAGCTACACTGTTTTTAATCACTTTGGGCAACTCAGAGTGCCCCCCCAGTCTCATTTCTGCCCCCAATGAAATGCGGGTTATTTTTTCTGCACAGGATGTCAAAGGTCTCTGTAGCTTCCTATTCTGGTACAAGCACCCAAAAACACCTGCGAATGTGTGTTAAGGGATTAATTTCTCCCCACCTCCACACCTCCGCTCCTCTTTCAGCTTTCCTAAGGAAATGAACCCTTACGAAAGGGTTCATTCACAGTTTCAGCAGCACCTTACAGTCCACCCCTTGGCCCTCAAAGGCCATTCTCACATACTTTGCAATCTAGGTGTTGAGGACTGTTTGTCTTGTTCTTTGAAAGTGGACTATTGATGTATTTTGACTGTATTGACTTCCATTTTTTCATAGGTTCCCACCAGCCAAAAGAAAGAAGGTGTTTATGATGTGCCAAAAAGTCAACCTGTAAGTGTAAGTAGACCTCCTCTGTCCTGCCAGGTTCCTGTGCCCTGGATTCATACTGAGACAATGGCAACACCAAGGCAGGGAATTCTCTGGAGAAGTGTCACCATCCAGATGGCTTTGCTGGGGACTCCTCCCTGGGTCAGGGTAAGGGTGGCAGCAGGGGAAGTGGTGGTGCTGAGGAAAAGATTGCCAGTCTGCACACGAGCCTCCACGTGGGGCTTCTATGTTTCAGGTGTTTCGCCATAAATGTCTACAGCCAAAGACTTTATGATACTTGATAAAGTAGAAGGCAGTTTCTTGGTTTTGCTGAGAAAGTTGCTCTCTAATTTGAAAGTGGTTGAAAAGCCTCAGGGAAACTGTACACAGTGGAGGCAAAGACCTTGGAGCTTGAGGGTCAGCCAGTGGGCAGAGCAGGAGGAAAAGGCCATGTGGAACATGGTGGAGAAGCGCACCTATGTGCCTGGACCCGTCTGCTAGTGGGACGCCTAGAAATCTGAGCAGAAAGGAAAATCCTTAGCTCTGTTGTACCCATCTGAGCCCTCGTGAGGCCCAGGTCCCCTACTAGAACCTTCCATTGCCATGGAGAAGGTAACTGCTGCGCACAATTCAGACCCCCTTGGGGAGCCAGTGAAGGCATTCAAGCAGGATATATTTGACTTTGTCACCTCTGAAAATGGAGCTAAGGTGTTTAGTCACCATAGTTTAGTCAGCTCAACAGTGTGCAGAAAGTGCACAGGCTTTAAAGTCATGTGCACACTTAAGAATCCCAGCTCTGACCCTAACACAATGATCTCTGTGACATTGTGACCAGTTGGGGGACCTGATCCTGTGAAAAGCAGTGATTCACCTGTGTATTTCAGCTTGTGAAAGGCATTGGAAATCCCATTCTTGAAAGAACAGCTGAAGGGTTGGAAGTGTAAAGCCTGGAGAAAAGAAAACATAAATGTGGAGTTGGAAGTTGGCAGGGCCTTTGTATGGAAAGCTGGTGGGGAGGTCTGTGTTGGCCAGCTGGGGACGCTTCAAGAAAGCTCCAGCTCAGGGCCAGGTGACCCTCCTGAAGGACAGTGCTGTTCAGGGTGGAACAGTGGCCCCTGAGTGAGCTCCCCATGGGCACTGCTGGGAGAGCATCCTTTTCTCTCGGAAAAATTCCTGGGGTTTTACACTGTGAATATATGTACAGGGACAAGAGTTTTTTAGTTATTACTTTCATTTTTACTGAAGTGGCATCATTTTACATCCTTGCTAATGTTCGGACAGTATGGAATCTCTGCCCTTGGGTTTAGTCACCATAGCTCTCCACCACCCAGGTGCCCATAGTTCAACACCCTGGCCTATTGTGCTCCCTGCTCCCTAGATTTCCCCTCCTCCTCTCCCTCCCCCTCTGAAAGTCTCAGGTCCATGATCAGTTTTAAAATGGGTCTCATTCTGTCTGCCTGGTTTTTCTGTATTCCATAAGTTACTTTTTTTTTTAACCGAAGAGATAGACATAGGAAGGAAGTTGATTTGTTCAAGATTTAAAAAATAGTATTACTTCATTAGCAAACAAAGCAATCTTCCTTTTTATTGTAGTAACACTGCTTTACAGAACAGTATATGCTTTAGGAGTGCAGATTTCAAATTTCCGTTAAACGCCAAGCCCAGTACTAATAGCCCTCCATCAAAATCCACTGGACCCGTCCACCCTTTATTCCTCTCCCCCATCCCCTCAGTAACCATAGTTCCATAGTTCAAATCCAAGGGATTGTTTTGTTTGGTATTGTCCGTTTGCTTTGTTTCTTTATGTTCCACATGAGTGATGATTTCATTCATGTGTGGAGTATGAAGAGGAGCTCCTGATGACCCCTCCAAGCCTGTAGTTTCCAACTGGGAGTCTGTCTGACTCACTCTTCCCCTCCCCAACTCCAGCTACAGCCCCCTCTTCCTAACAACTCTTCACGCCTCTGACCCACTCTGCCAGCAACTTCAAACCAACTACTCCACCGAAATACTACTTCTGAAAACTAATACATGTTTTAATAAAAAAACATATCCAAATACAGACCTCTTTTCAAAACCCCAAGTCCAGAAACTGCATAGAATGTACAGCTCAGGGAAAAAGCAGTTTTTCTCCCTGAGGCCTGTGCATTTAATCAAGCCTCCATGTCGCTGAAACACTGGCCTGTTCTCTGTGTTTCAATTTGGTCCAGCCCCCATGACACCTCTCCCTACAATTCAATTTGTGCCTAAATTGCCTCAGTCGCCCCTAACAGGTTTAGATACGTGAGGAAACATGCTCCATTTGCGGCCTTGGTTTCTGTGACTATATTAACCAGTCTGTCCACACCATCCCCATGTTTAATAGCTTAAAAAAAAAAAAAAAAACAAAAACCCAAGCTCCTTAGCCTGGTATCCAGCACTCACGTCCTAGCCTCATCTGTACAGCTCAACTGAAGTCTGCCCTCCTGAAGTAGTAGTGCCCCCTTACCCACTGTTTATTGTTTACCTTCCCCTGACATCCCAGTTTAGCTTCCAGTTTTGTGTTCCTGGGGCACCTTTAGAATGTCTGCCCCACACACCACCCTAACTTCGGTACTCCTACATCTTCTCATCCCTCTGTGAACTGCACTCATCAAGCAGAGCAGGAATTCTGCTTCCCTCTTTCTCGTTACCTCATGTTACCAGAAGCAGGTACACAGCCTGGAGCATGGATGGCAGCCTGGCACAGCTACTTAATAAATACTAATACTTAATAAATCCGTGCTCCACTGTGTCCTGGAGAAAGACATTCTGGAAGTCCCTGGTAAATCCCTGTTTTTATGGGAATTCTGTTTTGCTGACTGTAGAATAGTCATTAAGTATATGTACTAAGATTCTGATTGGAAAATATCTGGGGGCTCCCTTGTCCCTTCCCTGGCCTGGTTCTACCAATCTGGGGGTCCCACATTATTTCTGTTCTTTTTCTCCTCAATACACTTTTTCTTTCTCTAAGCCAAAAGAAAAGAGAGTATCTGGGCTACAAGAATGGCCTGTGTGACCTCACTGCTTTCCCCAGAAGCGTAGGTCGGGCTGCGGGGAGGTGGCTTTTCCATGAATGAGTGAGGGACCAGTAGGAAGCACAGGCTCAGGTGGAGGGGGGGGTGCAGGTGGACCCTCGCTCTGTTCTTATTCCAGGGGGATTTCTGTGGTTTTCTGGCCCCTCTCAGTCTCAGAATCTTCATCTCCAAAAGGAGTGACTGAACCCCAACTTGCAAAGTGATTTTGAGTAAATATAGTATATGTACTAGAAAATGACCCCTCTCATCTGTACATCTAAGAGCTTCTTTAAATTGCCTGGTGCTGTCCCTGTTCTGGGACCTCCCTGTACTCTGAGTATCCCCTGTATACCCACCCCTGGCAAGTTCCCCTTCCCTGGAGTCTCTCTGAGCTCTGGTCTGCCATGATGTGTGTTTGCTCCCCTACGCCATGTTCCTTAGCCAGAGTTAAAAATAAAATCACTATTGTGCATCTCAGCCTCCATGAGGATTGGAGCTTCCACAAATTTCTCACAAGAACAGAAACTGTCAGTGGCCTGTTGGTGGACATCCCACCTGGTCTCTTTTATCTTGTGTCCAGGGCCGTGCTGAGCCCTGCTAGGAGACTCTGCCTGGGTCAGCCACTGGGCAGAGCCACCAACCAGCCCCAAAAGAAACACGCCTGATCGGCAGTCATATGTGGGCACAGCTCTCATCCAGCCACCTGTAAAGGTCCCCAAGCAGCCTTGGTTTCTTCTCTAAGCCTCAGTGAAAAGAAAGTGATGTGTACCGTGTAGTTCTGTTTTTGTTGGGGGAATTAAAAGAGATATTTATATAAAACCTTAACAGGAAATGTGGATTCTCTTAAGTGAGAACATCACCACGTGTTGTAGGTACAAGCAAGATCCAGTTCCCTGAGCTGGGGATCGCCCTGCGTGCTGGGTGACTCTGCTTGTCTTTGCATCTGTGTGAGCCACAGGGCTTTGTGTTCCTTGGACGTTGTGTTTGGAGTCACTGTTACTGCCTGGCTTAGCATTTTGTATAAAGACTAGATGAGCTGAAGTGTGTGAATCAGGAAAGTCTTTGGTGCAGTGTGAAGATTCAGTAGTTCAGTTTTTTCCTACTTTTCTGTGAGTTCCTTGAGAAACTCACTTTTAGTCATTATCTTTAAAGTAACTCCTCTTGGGACTTCTGATCTCTGAGATTTTGATGGTGCACGTGTGCGGGGGGCCTTGACCTGCAAGGCCAGGGAGTCGGGGCCCCAGGTCCGGCGAACAAAAGAAACAGTCACACGCATGTAGCAGAACAAAGAAAGAGAGAGAGTTCTTTATTTTGTTTTTATCTAGTTTATATAAAATACAAGAGGTGGGGGATGCAGAGGTCGGGAAGGGAGAAAGCCAATGGACAATAGACATGCAGCGATGTTTTGACGGCGGTTGCTCTTGCGAGGGGCGAAAGTGGGCGAGAATGGAGCAGTGTTTTGATAATAGTTGGTCTCGCGAGGGGCGAAAGTGGGCGAGAAAAGAAAGAGGAGAAGGAAAAGGTGGGGGCAGGGAGTTCTTCCCACATGCCTTTTACAACCCGGATGTTTTTCTCTATCCGGACTCCATTTCACCTTTTTATGACTGCTGACAGACGCCAGATGCCGGCCTCGGTCCCCAACACACGTGAATGAATATTTCTATAGGTCTTGAAGCCAGTAGGGTCCCACCACGTCAGCTCTGGAACCTCTGTCTTAGAGATCCTAAACCCTTGGCTCTTCGTCCTTCTCCCATGAGTGGGCATGCCTGCAGGAAAGTGACAGATGTAATGCATTTGGTATTACAGAGTTCTGAGGCAGCAGAGTTCAAGTTCACTGCAAATTCATTTCTCACTGGTCTCATCCACCTCGTCAACTTACACACACATTTTGTGCAAGTTGTGAAATTTTTGAGAAGTTCATTTTCATAAGTCATGAACTTTGTTTTCAATGAACCTTTCAATCAGTCTTCAAGGCAACTGCTGCAGAAACACTGG